TTGTAACAGACACGCTCTAACCATCCTCTGTCCAAAGTGTAGGCGCCAAATACATTTGGATAGGGAGGAATACTTTGGTCCTATTTGGTGAAGACCGCTCCTGTGAATTGTGTCTGACATGCCTCTGTCTCTGACTTAGTGGGTGACCTTGCATAGGTTTGTTAACCCTATTCCTTATCTGTCGCTAGACAGAGTGATGAGCTCTGTTCTTACCTAGTGCATAGAGTTGTTGCCACATAAAATGAAACCATGTGAAAATTGACTCAAATATGGCTCAGCCTTGTTAGAAGAATACTAGGCCTTAGAGCTCTTAGGAGAGAAATATTTTAACGAGCGCATATTCATGCTAGGTTGGGTTACATGTGCTTATTCACATCTCAAAAAAGGGAAAGGCGGAGACCTGGAACATCTCGGAGGTGGTGAATACTAACTCTTCAAGTCTGCAATAAAAAATGACCTCTAATAAAACTACACTGCAAAAAATGGGAAAGAAACAGAATGGGAAGAGTAAAAAATTCGAAGAGGAAGAGCCTGAAGAATTTATGGTGGAAAAAGTCCTGGACTGATGTATAGTGAATGGGAAAGTATTTTCTCAAGTGGAAGGGATTTACAGATGCTGACAGTACCTGGGAACTTGAAGAAAGGTTAGATTGTCTGGAGTTAACTGAAACATTTCTTAATTCTCAAAAAGCTGGTAAAGAAAAAGATGGTACAAAAAGAAAATCTTTATATGACAGTGAATCCAATGATAGCAAATCAAAGAAGAAAAGAGATGCTGTTGACAAATCAAGAGCCTTTCCAGAGGCTGTGATCCTGAGAGAATAATTGGTGCCACACACAGCAGTGGAGAATTGATGTTCCTCATGAAAGGGGAAGATTCAGAGGGCAGACCTGGTGCTGACAGAAGAGGCAAATATGAAGTGTCCTCAAATTGTAATTACTTTTTATGAAGAGAGACTAATTTGGCATTCTCATCCAGAAGATGAAGTTCAATAATTGTTTGCATTGCTTTATATATATATATATATATATATGTATGTATGTATATGTATGTATATATATGTATGTATATGTATGTATGTATATGTATGTATATATATGTATATATATGTGTATATATGTGTATATATGTATATATATACACACACACCCAGAAGCATAGATTGCAGATATATATAACTTGTGTATGTAAGTATATATTCTTATAAGCATATAAGTATAGATTTGCAGAACTAGAGATCTGAGATTAAATATTTCCCTTCAGCAGAACATTTAATGATTTTTATCTTTTCTTAATTGCATTTTTTATGCATCCTAGACCTATCACTAGTATGTGAGCATCATTTATTTTAATAATATTCGATAAAATAGTGTTAAGAAAAATTGTAAAGTATTCATATAATTATAGATATTCTGTTATAAATATAAGCATCAGTTTGGAAAAGTGGGGCTATATATGGAAACTAATTTATTTAATAGAATATACGAATAGGTACTATACATCTATGGATCTTATTTTTAAACTTTTGAAATTTAAATTGCTGAGTATGTTTTCTTAAAACTGGACTTAGAAATTTTTTTTTCCATTTAGGACTAGTTGAAATTATTTTAATATTGAACAGAAAAGTAAACATTGAGATCTTAGAAAATTATGGTATGTATGTATATATATATATGTATGTATATGTATGTATGTATATGTATGTATATGTATGTATATATGTATGTATATGTATGTATATATATGTATATATATGTGTATATATGTGTATATATGTATATATATACACACACACACAGAAGCATAGATTGCAGATATAGATAACTTGTGTGTATATATGTATGTATATATGTATGTATATAAAATATATTTAAAATCTGGGTCTTGGTTTTTGATTTAGTAGTGTGAAAAAATAACTACATTCTAGTGAAAATCAAGTTTGATATGTTCATTTTGAAAATAGTATTGGGGTAGTTGTTGGGTTCTTTTGCATCAGTAGCATTGGTGACTTTGAACAAATAAATAAAACTTTCTGTAGTTGCCTCCTTTATCAGAAAAGAACATTTGATACCATGGTATATTATTTCCTCTGCATTAGAGAACACCTTTTCTAAATGTTGGGGGAAATTTCAAAAGTCATTACTCAGTCAGAATGTATGTTTAACTCATATGCCTAAGGACCACATTCACCAAAACAAAAACCATAGGTAAGGTCATGTTTCTGAGATGCCATCATTCTGAACAACCTAAGAAATAAATCACTTAAAGTTAAAGTGATTTTTTTTTACTGAAACCATAGCCTTTCAAATTATATGATTCTGTAATTGGATAATTTAAAAGTAGAGCCATATCAGAATCCATATCTATAGTCATATAAATGAAACTGTTTATTTGCAAAATTCCTGAAAGGATAAATTTTGTCACTACCAGCAACCTATCCAGTTAAAGAAAGTACACAAATCCTGGTGTTTTAATTAGCTAAGCAAGTCTTAGTTAAATGGACATTTAAAGATTCCTCTAGTGAGCCATTCCTTCACAAAAAGTTGAAATCCCTGTGTTGTATTGACTAAAAAGTCATGATTTATGGAATGTCTAAGACTTGGCTCATAGAAACATAACCAGATGGTTAGAGATGTTAGTAGTTTAGGACTCACTGGCATAAATGGGTAAATAAACTTTTGTAATCCAAACTATTGCCCTGCATGCTTTTTCTTTATCCCTCCTCTTTCCTTATAGGGAGGCTCAGTCTTTTAAGTATTTGGGCTACTGGTTCAGCAGAAGCCAGGAAAACAATAACTTCGTAGTAATCAGAATATCACCCAACTGCATATTGTTTATTGTAAATACTGGTGAACAGACATCAATAAATAGTTTTATATTCCTTTAAAAAAAGGGGGGGAGAAGACCAATGATAATACTTTGCTTTAGACATTTTATATGATATTTTCTTTATTGTTTCTCTGTATGTGTATGTTTTACAGTATAGTTTATGAGTCTCTTAGTTTCTGTTTTATAACTTATTTTAAGATTTGAGGAGCCACTTACTTCTGGCTAACTTCTTTTCTGAAACAGGAAGAAACATTTTGAAATAAAACAATCCAAATGTGTTTTAGGGTTATTACCCAGAAATTTTAGAGCATAGCGTTCTTGAAGACAAGGATAGTACCTTAGCACCTATGGCATATATTTAGTTTAGGTAATTAAATTCTTATGATAGAAGTAGTATCTAACCTCAGTGTGCAGTTCAGTAAATATATTACTTTTAAAAGATTGAGGCTTAGTTATAATAAAACCATAAATAATATTTTCAATATAACAGACTTAAGGAAAATAGCAAAGCACCTCACATTATTATCTATGTGCAGGAACTTTTTCTTACATCTAAGAGAGTAGTACTTTATGGGGAAATGTTTAGTTAAAAAACAGTGTGTTTAAACACTCTTTAGTTATCTTCCCACAAGATACCTATTAATTACAAAAGGAAAAATATTAACTTTGTTATGAAGAAATCTGGTAGACACCACCTTAACTAAGTGAATAGTTAATATCCCCAGCAATGGGACAAATAGATATTTTGGGCCTCCTAACATGATGTATTTAAAAGGACATAACATCATTTCTTTGGTATTCCTGCCAAAAATGCAAACTGAATCTAGTCACGAGAGAATATTATACAAACCCAAACTGGGGGACATTCTATAAAACAAATGACCTGTACTCTTCAAAAGTGTCAAGATGTGAAAGACAAAGAAAGACTGAAGAACTGTTCCAGAATAAAGGAGAAGAAACTGTTCCAAGTTAAAGGAGCTGTCATTAAGAATCATGATATTTACTAAATGAAACCTACGATCCTACATTGGATTCTGAACCAAAAAACACTTCTTTTTTTCATTTTTTATAAAGGATATTAGTGAAACAATTGGGGAAATTTGAATAAGATCTATGGGTTAGATAACAGTACTTTATCACTGTTACTTCCCTGGTTTTGATACTTGTACTACCTTTGTATAAGTTAATATTTATGTATTTAGGAAATAAGCACTGAAATATCTCAGGTTAAAGAAGTAATATGTCTTTTACTTTCAAACAAAAAAATAAGATAGGAAGAAAATTATAAATAGATGTGATTAAATGTTAGAGTTGGGAAAATATGGGTTAAGGTTGTATGGGAATTCTTTGTGCTGTTTTTGCAACTTTTCTAATTCTGAAATTATTTCCAAATAAAAAGTTCAAGGAAGTAGTAGCTTAATGAGGTTTGTCCCTAACTAACTGATTTTTGAGTTAAAAACCTTCTGTGGGTCAGTTTTCTCATCTGTAAAATGAGGTTGCTGTACTGGATTAAATTTTAAGGGTCCTTTCAGTTACAAAATTCTGTGATTTTATAACTAGACATTAGTAGTAATAATTTGTATCCTTAATATAGGCATGCTTAAGGAGGACAATAATAGAAAATGAAAGTTAATTTTCCCATTTGAGTCAAAAGCTGTTGTTAAAACAAAGCCCGTGTGCCAAATAATAGTTTCATATTTATTAAGCTCACAGATTTTTTTGTGTGCCAAAAAAACTTGTATTGAGATTTTATTTAATTGTACATGTCATTTGTGTTCATGCTTATGCATTAAAGACATCTTATTAGTTTTTTTATTTAATGTTATTTTAAAATGTACTTTTGTAGGATTACCCAATGAAAACTTGGTTATTAAGACCCAAGATTAATAATGAAAATTTATTTATTCTTAGAGTCTGGTCATTTAGCTCACTTAGGAGAACACGGTGCTGGTAAACACCAAGGTCATGGGGTTAGGATCCCCTTACCAGCCAGCTGCCAAAAAAAAAAAAAATTTATTAGATACATATTCTCTGCAGCCTAGAAGGACTGTCAAGCTATGAGTAGCTGATAATATAAAAATTAAACCTATGTCCAGTATAAAATATTTTTTGGTTGTATTTAACAAAAACAAAACTTTATTAATCTGTTGTTTTCCACAACCCCTCCCAGCTTGGTGATCCAGCTATTTTTCCTGCCGTAATTGTGGAACATGTTCCTGGTGCTGATATTCTCAACAGTTACGCTGGTCTAGCCTGTGTGGAAGAGCCCAATGATATGATTACTGAGAGCTCACTGGATGTCGCTGAGGAAGAAATCATAGATGATGATGATGATGACATCACTCTCACAGGTGCGTGTGTCTCCAGCAAAACCTTGTTGCAACACAGTTTTAGGTAGTGGCCTAGTCCTGAGATTTTTGGAGCATAAAAAGTCCCTAACTTGGTTTTGAGTAACTTCATTCCCTGCAGAACCTAGAGCCTTGGGGGAAGAAGGAAATTACATCTTCTGTTTCGTGTGCTGTGTTTCATACTGTTTTCTTACCTCTTCTTTCCTAAGTATATTGAGGTGAACGTGACAAAACAGGAGGTATTTAAGAGGAACCAAACCTACTCAATTCATCAAGTCTTCACTGAGCACTTTCTTATATACATAGCTCTATAGTTCTGAGAACAAAATGAAAAGCTGTTTATAGCAATAGAGGTAGGAATGTTCTTTTCTTTCTACTGCCACAGGAAACAAAATAGTAGGCCATGACCCAAAGGTACAATAAGGTCCTGGAATTTATAGAAGATTTCTCTTCTGGTTCAGTCAAAACTAGTAAAATACTTCAAACTTTAAGAGTGGACTACATAAATGTGGGGTAGTGGTAATGATATTTTCATCAATTTTAGAAACTGGTTCTTGCTTTGTGTTTTATTACATTTATATTCACATGTCTTGGCAAATATTGTGGCTGCCTTGTTCTAAGCTTTACCTTAGCATCTCCACAGTGCCTGGTATATAGTATGCATTCAGTAAAAATTTCTTGCTACTAAATACTAAAACTTTTGAAGTTACAGTAACTAGAGTAAGGTGGTATTAGTGAAAGAATAGTAAATTGGATTATTACAACTGAATATTAAGTATAGATGTGAGTTCCTGTCTACTTAAGAAGTTAACATGTTTCAGTGACATTTTAAATCAGAGAGGAAAGGAAGAATGACTGGATATCCATTTATTGGGGAAGAGAAAAGAAAGTTAGATTCCTACCTTAATCATGCTCAAAATAACATAGGAAATCCCTAATGGATTAAAAAGTATAATATAATGGGCTGGCTCATGGCTCACTTGGGAGAGTGTGGTGCTGTTAACACCAAGGCCATGAGTTCAGGTCCCTATATAGGGATGGCTGGTTGGCTCACTTAGGAGAGTGTGGTGCTGTTAACACCAAGGCCATGAGTTCAGGTCCCTATATAGGGATGGCTGGTTGGCTCACTTAGGAGAGTGTGGTGCTGACAACACCAAGTCAAGGGTTGAGATCCCCTTACTGGTCTTTATTTAAAAAAAAAAAAAAGTATAACAAATGAAACCATAAAAAAAATGAAAATTAGTCATGATATTATGAGATCCCCTTACTGGTCTTTATTTAAAAAAAAAAAAAGTATAACAAATGAAACCATAAAAAAAATGAAAATTAGTCATGATATTATTAATTAAATCTATACCTTATTTGATTTTAAAGTAACAAAGGATTTCCTAAGCATTTGGAAAAAAGTACAAAGGGAAAAGGTGGATTGACTTGCTAACATATATTGAAAAGTTCTTTATGCCAAAAAACAATTTAATGAAGTAAAAAGGCAAATGACAGATGTGTAAAACTATTTACATTCTATATGGTAGGTAAAGGATTAATATCCTTTATGTATGTAGAGCTCTTACAAATCAGTAACAACCTTAAATAGGCAAAGAATTTGAACAGTCATATTAATAAATAAAAAAATACAAATGTCCAATAAGTTTGACCAAGAGAGTACTTTTTTTAGTAAACAAATAAATGCATTGTGAAATTTTTTAAAAAATATAATTTTTACCCATCATATTGAAAATAAACAAAAAGATGATAACTTTGTGGCACAGACCAGGTCCAAAGGGGGGATAGAAATGGGATGACATTTTTGTCTTTGTGCCAAAAAAGTTCTGAGCATGGTTATATTTGTGGGTGGTATGTAGAATCTTATAGATTGGTGAAGGAGACAGAAAACTAGAGATTGGAAAGGGGGTGAAGAATTGTGCATTTCTGTTTTCTGTGTATTTGGAAAAACTAGACCAGAAACAGTATTGTAGGAACTCATGATGGAAGCTAGCAATAGCTGGAGTAAGGAACATAAGATTGATTTGGAATTGAATAAAACTGTAGTTAGTAAATTCAGTAATGATAATCAAAATAGTAACTATCAGTTATTGAGTGCTGCCCTGTGATAGTTTTTTTTAACTTTTAATTTTAAATTGTTTTTACTTACAGAAAGTTGCAAAAGTAGAACAAAGAGTTCTCCTATATTTCTTATTCTGCTTCCTCTGATGTGAATATTTTATATAACCATCATACATTTATTTATCAAGAACAGGAAATTAACACAGGGTACAATATTATTAACTAAACCTAGACCTTATTTGTATTTCACTAGTTTCACACTAGTGTTCTTTTTCTGTTCCAGGATCCCCTCCAGAATCACACATTTCATTAGTAGATGTTTCTCCTTAGTCTCTTCCAGTCTGTAACAGTTCCTTGTCTCTCATAAGCTTGACACTTTTTTGAACAGTACTGGTTGTTATTTTGTAGAATGTCCCTCAATTTTAGTTGTATGTTTTTTCATGATTGGGATGAGGTGTAACACATTTTTGGCAAGAATACCACAAAAGTGGCATTATCTCCTTCTCAGTGCATCATATTTAATGTGATAGTTTATTTATTTATTTATTTATTTATTTATTTATTTATTTATTTATTTATTTATTTATTTATTTATTTATTTATTTATTTATTTATTTATTTATTTATTTATTTATTTATTTATTTATTTATTTATTTATTTATTTATTTATTTATTTATTTATTTATTTATTTATTTATTTATTTATTTATTTATTTATTTATTTATTTATTTATTTATTTATTTATTTATTTATTTATTTATTTATTTATTTATTTATTTATTTATTTATTTATTTATTTATTTATTTATTTATTTATTTATTTATTTATTTATTTATTTATTTATTTATTTATTTATTTATTTATTTATTTATTTATTTATTTATTTATTTATTTATTTATTTATTTATTTATTTATTTATTTATTTATTTATTTATTTATTTATTTATTTATTTATTTATTTATTTATTTATTTATTTATTTATTTATTTATTTATTTATTTTTTTAAAGATGACCAGTAAGGGGATCTTAACCCTTGACTTGGCGTTGTCAGCACCACGCTCAGCCAGTGAGCGAACCAGCCATCCCTATATGGGATCTGAACCCGGGGCCTTGGTGTTATCAGCACCGCACTCACCCGAGTGAGCCACGGGCCGGCCTGTAATAGTTTTTTTAAATGTACATTATCTTATTTAATTCTCACAATACAAAAGGAAAACTGAAGTTAGAGAGATTAAATTAAGTGACTTGCCTAAGGTTGTATACCAAGTGGCAGAGCCCCCATTAAGACTAGGAAGGCAGATATTGGATTTTTAGGAGAATGAATTGCTTCTTCCTTTCAGTGCTTCACTCTCTTGTGTTTAGATGTGAAGACAGTAGATGACAAGGTACAGATAGATTCCTTCCTAGAAAATAAAACTGGTGTGGAATGGGTCCAGCAAGCAAGCCATATGTTGAAAATCAGATTTTCTATTTGCGTGTTTCTTCCCTTTCCCCTTTCTTATCTCTCTCTTTAATTCTTCCATCCTTGTCTGAGCAATGTCATGAGAAAGTGAAGAACCTTGTAGCCCTTCTTATTGCAGAGCAGGGAAGGGAGAGTACTGTGTGCCTTTGAGAACTCCAAGGGAAGAAAGAGGTAGGGATAGAAAGATTTGTTCTTACATAACGAAGTACCGAAGATTGGGTGGCTTAAACAAGAGAAATATGTTTTCTCAAAGTTTTGGAAGCTAGAAGTCCAATGCCTTTGAGAACTCCAAGGGAAGAAAGAGGTAGGGATAGAAAGATTTGTTCTTACAAGTGTTAGGTGGCACTTCAGATGATGTATTAGTTTGCAAGGGCTGCCATAACGAAGTACCGCAGATTGGGTGGCTTAAACAAGAGAAATATGTTTTCTCAAAGTTTTGGAAGCTAGAAGTCCAAGATCAAGGTGTTGGCAGGTTTGTTTTCTTCTGAGATCTCTTTCCCAGGCTTGTGGATGACCGTCTTCTCCCTGTGTCTTCATATGATCTTGCCTCTGTACCTGTGTCCAAATTTCTTCTCAGAAAGAAACCAGTCATATTAGATTAGGGCCTGTCCTAATGAACTCATTGTAACTTAATTAACTTTTTAAAGACCCAGTCTTTAAATATAGTCACATTCTGGTACTGGGGCACTTCACCATATGAATTTTGAGGGTACACAGTTTAGCTCATAATAGATGAAATTAGGGAATCATTGTTAATGTTTTTAAGATATGATAATAAAATTTTGTTAGACTCCTCATCTTTAAGATACATACTAAAATATTTAGAGATAAAGTTTGGTTTCTTGGAGTCCCTTAAAATAATGTGTGGAAGGTGAGGACTTGAGGGCAGTGAGTGGGGCATGTATGAAAGAAGATTGACCATTTGTTGGTAATGGTTGAAGCTGGGCATGGACACATGGGGATTCATTATACTATGCACCATAATTTTGAATTTGTTTGAAGTTTTTAATAATAAAATGATTTAATGATTTTAGGGAATTTGAAGCTTATATTAGATAGCAGGTATCATCTGTAATTCCAGATTTCAAATTTTCATGTTTGTCAAAATACTTTCATCTTTAATTATTGATCTACCTCATATCAAGTTTGATATAAATTTGAACCTATAAAAAATGTGTAATGACAAAAATTTATGTTGGAGTTCCACATAAATTTTCATTTGGAAAAAGGGTTGTGCTGCTAAAAATTTTTGAAAGTCATTAGACTAGGAGCTCTTATCTATGTGGAAATTCTTCTTCCTTTACTACTTGAGAATCTAAATTTGTAAGGAGATGGTAGAATTTGTATTTCCACAAGTGAAAGGTAACTATGATAACTATATTTATTAGTAAATCTTCTCTTTTAAAAAGTACTATTATCTTTCTCCTCATTCATACTTACTGTTGCCTGTTTTTACAAGGTCAAACATAATT